TGCAGAGCATTTATTTATACACTCAGGAAGTTGATGTCAATTCCAACCTCTCTGCCTAGCAACTTGTCGTGGAATCATTATCAGTCTTTGTTTCTAGCGGTACCTTCATGCTTAGATCTCATAATTTCACTACCCTTAAACAAGGAGAGTATACCCTCATTCTTCTTGGCTGTGTGACCATTTTGCAACATTCCATCTCCTCAAATACATACTCACATTTTCTTCACCACTGGAATCAAGGAGGTCAGCACTGCCTGTATCTCTATCTGTTGACACTTTCTCTATTCACTCTCACAGAAATGTTGGCTCACATGGTCCATGTAAAAGTCATCATCATCATCATCCACCCATACCACTCTTCTGTTATGAAAATATGTATGCTGCAGCCAGCACAGCTATCAAATTTCCTGGTGTATGGGCCATGAAGGGTGGTGAGAAGATGAAGAGCTGAAGACAAGATACAGAAAGCTGGAATCAGGTGGCGCCCTCTCTCTGGATGGGAGGAAAAAGAAGTGCTCCACCACCACAGCATGTGTATTTATATATTCAGCATATTCGCATGACACCCCTCTGCCTAGCAACTTGTTTGTTTCAATTGCTAGGAGTGCATGGTGTTCTCTAGACTGCTAGACTGGAGCATCTCTTCATGTGGCTTGCCTTCGGCACACTTTGTTCCCAGGATCAGCCTTGCTCCAGCCTTGCACATGTGGCCAATATCCAACTTTTTCCACTCACTACATCTCCTCCTTTTCTGTTTTATAGTTGTCAGCAATGGGAAGTCTGTTGAATTTAAAGTTGGAGGAGCTGTCTTTGGAGGACTCTGCAGAAGATCTTCTCATTCTTGAACTGTTTTTATGCTGAGTGACCTTATTTAATTAGGCTAAAGATTTTCAGTCCAAGGATTTAAAATCCCTGCACTCAGCAGTTTTATGCTATACAACCCATTAACCCATAACAGTGGTCAGTCACTGGTGCAGCAGGAAATTGTCAGCAGGTGTTAGTGATTTGAGTTTCTTTTATAGCTAGCATATTAGTATGACATTGTTTTATACCTCTTGTCATTATTCCCTTCTGCAGGATGTTTAAGACCAAGTTAAAGTAAGACCTGTATTAATTACAATTAATCTCTTCCTATCAATCATTGTCAGTTAAGTCTCCTTGGCAATTACCTTAAAAGCATGCATAGTGCCTCTCAATTCTCCTGTCAGTCTCAACCATCTGGATGAGTCACAGCCATTGTTTGACCACATTGCTTTCTGTGAAAGCTTAGCAGACTTTTTTCTCCTGGTGACTCTCTTCAGGCACACTATACACCATTGAATACTTTCCCCTGTGGTCCCACAATCTCCTTGGTCAGAAACCAGGAACTCATCAAGTTATAGGACGTTTCAGCAGAGGTTCTCTTATGTTGTGGGTCCTCACTGAACTTGGAGGACTGGGGTCAAAATATTGGCTGTACCCCTACCCTATCTTTCTAGGTTTTGGCCCCCAGACCTCAGTTATTGAACATCCAGAAGAGAAGGTTAATGATATCATATTGCAGTTTGCCTAATATTAAGTAAAATAGAACCATTATTTCTTACTATACATGGATGTTTTAACATCTGGATCCCTGTGGAATGTTAACAGACAACGGTTATATATCATACCCAGAAAATTAGAAATCAAAACCATGCAAAATATTGAAGCATAACAGTCATGATATTTTTGTAACACACTTAAATTTCTATTTTTGATATGAAATAGTCTTTTTATTCAATCATCCCTATCTAGTACATGAGGAGATTTTGCCTAACTAATCGATCTTTAATGGGATGTTATTGAGGAAATTTGTGACATTGTCTGGACTGCTTAATGTCTAGGCATCTCTAAGTATAATGACACATACACAGCAAATACACCACATAAATTTTTGTTAATGGAAGAGGTTTGAATCTGAAAGAAAATTGTACCACCATAAACAATCCCTGTTTTATATTTTGGAAAACCTGTATGTCTGGAGACATGAATATATTTAATACACAATGAGATTAATAACAATCTATTGTCATAGCCATATGAAAACCTTTGTACCAGAGCATCTTTAAATCAAAAATCTTATTGTCTGGAAATCTTAATCTTTTGATGAGGACCAATGTAAACATATCACAATAATATATTTTAATAACATTTTTGAGGTGTCTCCCATAAAGCTATGGAGATCACTGAGGTTCCTATTAATGAACAAAGCCTGGAATAATTTCCCGGCCAGCTGTGCTGTATATACCAAAGGGAGCCTTGACCAATAATTCTCTAAGCCCAAAGGATCCTCATTTGGTTACCTTAGCAAACTTTTGATGACTTCTGTGAACACCAGTCTGGATATCACATTGACCTGCTGGCAATTCAGGTGGAAGCATGCTTTTAGCTCTATAGCTCAAATTAAAATTTGAGCACATGATCCAAAATGCTAAAGGCAAAGCAAAAACAAAACATTGTTGAGCTCAAGTAAAGAACAGCTGTTAACTGATTGGACAAATGGACAAACAACAAGTATACAGCTTACAGATTGGACAAACAAACATCTTACAAAATTAGAGTAAACTCAAATATATTTTTCATCAAATTAAATTATAAAAACATTTTTACAATTTTAGAAATTTGTAAGTATAAGTAGCCTAATCAGAATTATTTGTAGTTCAGTTAGCAGAGATCTCTTATAAGAAAATTTGGATGGAATAAAATATTTTATTTATAATTAATATTTAATTTTTGTATTTATTTTTGTCTTTAAAATACTCAAAAAGAATACTGGTAACTTTCCTGTCCTTTTCTTTCATGTAATTTTCTTCTCAGTTACCTCCATGCACTCTATCACTTACTCAAACCTTTGATTCCCATTTTTAGGTTACCATTTCCCAGGCATCCTGGGTCCATTCCTTTAATTGGCCCCAGGTCAGATCTAGCCCCACCCTTTCTCTATTGGCTGTGGAATTGTCTCTGAAGCATTGCTGTCATAAGATTGAGCAATGGCTTCTTGAAAGGTGGAGTCAATTCCTTCTCTGGATTTGGGACTAGGATACAGGTAGACAGCATGCTCTGGTATCCAGATAGGCCACTCAGTGTTTTCTGGAAAAACACAAGCATATCCTCTACCCCAAGGGAGTGGGTTGGGTGCCTTCCATTGTCCAGTATGAAGATCTTTCCAGAGGACCCTTCCTAACTTCTTTTTCTTTACCTGATTGAATTGTCTTTCTGCTGCTGTAGTCTCATCCATAGTAGGATTTAAAAGTTAATAGTATACAATGCTAAGTGAAGTGTATTATGAGATGTGAATTTTGTAGGGAAGGATTCCCCGTTTTGTTTTTATAATTGAATTTTGAGTGTATAGTGAGCATGTTCAACAATTCCTTGACCTTAAGGGTGATAAGGAATTCCCATGGTAAGGGAAATATGACAAGTTTCACAAAATGTTTGGAAGGCAGCACTTGTATAGGCTGGGCCATTGTCAATCTTAAACGTGGAAGGAAAACTCTGTATCCTGTATTCAGGTGCCCAGGGCTGCTGCCTACTGCTCCCGCCTCTGCCTATGGCTCCTATCCAGACACCTCTGCACCTATGGCCGCCATTTTTTTTTTTAGAAGGCTGTTATGGTTTCTGAGGCCCTTAGCTGAGTGTAGCTTGAATACGGTGATATGCATGGGTGGACTGGCAGTTTAAAATCTTGGTGGGGCCTGGTGGAGTTCGTGCCAAAGCCCATGGGAGGCACGGCCAGCCAGACTTCCATCCCTCTGCCTGCTCATTGCCGCCCACAGCGGCACAGTCATCAACTCCACGGTGGGGGCCTCCTTCAGCTGCGCTACACCATGTGTGATCCATCATGCCTGTCAGGGCCTGATCACACAGTCTCAGGGAAGTTTCCTGTGCCATAGCACCCCTACTGCTTGGTAGGGGTTGGGTGGGCCCCTCTCAAAGTTTCCCAGAATAGATCAGCCTTCCACACCAGTTTTTACACTTACTTTCCCAGTGATGCCCTCATTGACACTGTGTACAGATTCCAGGTTTTGTTGAAGGGACAATGGCTGTGCTGCATTTAGAGGTGCAACAGCAATTTCAGGAAGAAGATCCCTCACTCATATAGCTGAAACAAGCATGCTTGTTCTTTTTCTTTCCTCTAGGTTGTAGATGAACAATCTGAGTGACAGCTAATGCCGACGTAGCCCCTTATGCATATGAGGGTCCAATTTCTGCACAACTCTGAATCATCTCAGACAGTGTACCCCTTTTTTGAGGGCTCTTAAACCTGCTTTATGTAATTTCTTTGCATTTTCAAAGGCCAGTTGTTGAGCAGTTAACTTAAAGGATGACCCTATTTTATGAACTAAGGAGATGGAAGTAGTTGCTTGTGGTGCAATTAAGGTTATCAGGCATTGTGAAATGGAATTCACATGGAAACACTCCTCTATTGGGAAAGGGTCCTTTTTGTCCCCCACTGCTCCTTCCTTACCTAATTGAGCAAAGCTAGAGGGTTTCAGCTCTATTGGGGTGGATTTTGTTCCACTGTCTTTTCCTGCTTGGGACTTGATTTTAAATTAGAGTCCTGAGCCAAATTCTCTGTAATTGTCTAAAGAAGCGTACAGCCATTAACCCATTTCCTAATCCAAATCCATGAAAACAAAGTAAATACAGGAATCAAGAATACAACAAGCATTTCTAGGTACATCTATGGTTCTTTGAGAACCTGTTTGCCCCATGTTTTACACCTGATACACATGGTCTCAGTAGTGATGATATTATTGAGCTCAGTATTGAGGCTATCAACACACTTTGGGCTTGATATTGATGATATCAATGCTGTCAGTACTGAGGATATCAGTATATCTCTCTCCATTTTGTGTGCACACTAGAGGTGTCCTCACCTGCTAGATGACAAATTTCCTCATGCCCTCAGTCCCTGCTTAGGTGCCATTCTGCCATGGCCAGTGCCACTCCTGAATTTCCTGGGGTGAGGACCATGAAGAGTGAGGAGAAGGTGAAGAAATGAAGAAAAGACACAGAAAACTGCAGTCAGGTGGAGCCCTCTCTCTGGATGGGAGGAAAAGGAACTGCTCAACCACTGAAGCATGTTTATTTATACTTTCAGCTGGTTGATGAAACATGACATTCTTCTGCCTGGCAACGTGTATGCTTCAGTTGCCTGGGGTGCATGATGTTCTCTGGACTGGAGCAGCTTGTTCATGTGGCTGGCCTTGGGCACCCTTTGTTCTCAAGACTGGCCTTGTTCCAGCCCCACACATGTGATCAGTCTCCAGCTTCAGCATCTCCCCACACATATATTTTACTATAATGGATCATCTTTATCATCTATGTATGAGTAATCTGATGATTCAATTTTGACTTCTACAAGACTTGCAAATATCATTTTTCCTGTGCAATCGTACTGATTTGGGCTACTTCTACCAGAAAAATGAAAAGAAAATGTCTTTTTTTTTATTTTAAAGAGAGTAGTAAGTGAGAAACAAACAAAGAAATAGAACAATAGCTGCATACCAGTATCACAAATATAAACAAATCAAAGCAAGAACATTCAACGCGATAGAGTCTCAATACAAAATAATACGAAAAGAAAATGTCTTTAAAAACAAATCCTGGTGTAGTGTGGGTGTATTGTATCCTCTCTGAATGCTCAGGTAAGCACACACAAAACCTGTTAGATGGAGCATCACGTGGTTATAAGTTCTGGTTTGACACTTTTTCACATGTGTGCACAACTTGCTTTTCCTCATACTAAGTGGGTAAATACAAAGACTGTTTCCTGTTTCCCTCAGGGGAAGGTAGTGAGATGCACAGCTGGCTACTGTTATGCTAAAGTAAAACTTCACAGTAGGAAAGTAAGGGATGTGTCTGTGGAACCCAGTGCTGTGCTCCACATTGATGCTTGGTTCCTGTGGACCAGACTGAGGAGAGTGATGAGGGGGAGTCCAGATCTAACATCTTTGCTATTCAGTTGCTGTACAAAGTAGGAGTGATAAGTCTGTCACCCATCCCACATCTTCCTCTGAAGCAGAAACTATTCTATGTCTGTCCCAGACCCTGAATTTCCCATGAAATCATTGCCTTTCATGAAAATTGTAGAAGAAAGAAAGGTTCTTCCCTCTCTGGGGCTGCAGGAAGTGGGCTGTCTACTGACCCATGGCAGAGCTGGATTGCCAAGCTCTCCAGGTAGAAGAATGAGGTCAGAAAAAGAAAGTCTATATTCCTGCACTTTCAAATTTCTGTCCACAAACCTTTGTGATCAAATCACATTCAGCTCAGGAGTTCTGCTTGAATTCTTTTTACTCTCACAAGATGAAGCATGGGGGTCTTGCAAGACAGTTGCATCAGCCTGAAAACAGACAGCAGTGAGGACTCCCCAGGGACTCTGCGTTGTTCTTAGAACAAGCCCAGGGCATCTCTAGGGGAGGGGATCCTTCACACTAGTTCATATAGTATAAATCTACCTTGTTATTGGCTTATAAATTACTAGAAGAGAAATCTGTGTAAGAAATGGTAGAGAGTTTAGCATAGGAGAAATCATTCAACACTGGTTTCTACACTAACAGATTAAAAACAGGAAAGGCACTAGCCCTCTCTATGTCCCATTTTCTGCTTTCTGAAGTTAGCAAATAACAAGGGATGCTATCATACACACACTCACGTGTGCAAACACACACACACACACGTTCATAGTGTGCTGGTTTATAACCTACTGCCTAGTCAGGTCATGCTGTCACTGATCTTGATACTAGCAATGCCCACTTAAATGAACATGTGACATTGAAATAAAAGGAACTAAAATTTTATTAGCAATGTCCAAATCAGAGATTCAGTAAAATATCACATTACACAGTACTAATTAGGATCAAGTATAAAAGAAAATAAAGGTTGTTGGATGAGGCTGACAATTTTTCAGTTCTGAATACCTCGCTGTCCTCCAGAATCACTATGGGGAAAAATCTGGCTGAAACAACCTTGTGGTTTTTACAGCTACCCTCCAATATGCAGCCAATAGCCATAAAACGTGCTCCGAGAAGTCTCATATTTCACTGAACCTATGCTGGAGGGTTAACAGAGTTCAACAACCTCCATAATATTGTTTTGACTTGAGGTTATTGGGAATTAGAATATGCACAAATGGATTGGGAGGCAGTCCAGTGGGAGAGGTCTCCCCTGGCATGGAAGATGCCTCAGCTCCACAGTATATGAAATATGATACACAGCAAGAATTACTGAAACCAGTAGACCAATGTATCTAACAAACCGCATAGACATGCTGAAAGATATGTTCACACCAGCAGTCTCCATAAATTCTCAAATTGGAAGCAACTCAGATGTCCATCCAATTAGACTGCATAGAGTATGTATGATATACAAACATGGTGGAAATTCTTTCAGTAGAAAAAACAAATTGCTGATAGAGGAGTTAGAATTGACATACACACATACACACAGCAGTGAGAATTGACATACACACATACACACAGAAACATATACACATACACATGAACACATACAGATTGAACACAAGAAGCCAGGTACTGGAAGCACTTGCTGAATATATCCAATTGCATTAAAGGAAGAAACAGACAAAGCTAACCAATGATAACAGCAATCAACATAGTGCTTACTTTGAGTTGGGGTAGAAACTAGGAAGGCATGTTTGCAGGTTTTTTACTTTTTTGGTGTGCTGGACATCAAACCCAGTGCACGCATTTACACATGCAGATGACATGTCTACCACCAAATTAAACCTGCAGGCCTGGGAATTTCTTCACTTCACTGATTGGAACAGGAAATTTTTCTTTTTGTAAAGGTAACCAAGCACATCTTTCAAATCTGAGCACCTTTGTCTACATATGTTTTACTTCACTATTATTTATATTTTCTAACAATATAAAAGGGCACTTCCTACAAAGCTGTTACTTGATTTGAAAATGTAGATATATAAAAATATAAGAACTGTCTTCAAAAAAACCATAAAACCCAAAGGGTGATGTAACAGTAAGGGAATACATTTAATTGTAAGCATTTTCCAGGGAAAAAATTCACTAATACAATCTGTTGAATCTGGATGGCAGAAATAATTCCAATTTGTCATAACTCTTCTAAGTAGGAAATGTGTAACTCCAGCATGACTCTCGGGCCTCTTCTGCTCTTTTGAGGCCTCACCGTATATTGCAGAGTAGAGAAATTTTGAAAACAGAGCTCCACGAGCACCCCAGTTGCAGCAGTTTTGGATGTGAAATTGCATTTATGTGCACTATTACTGTAATGGCCACACCCACTGACTTCCTCCTGGAGTCACCCTTATATTCTCAGCCTGCCCTTCCTATAGTGTTAGTCGTGGCACCGGAGATGCTGCATTTGCTTCTGCTGCTGCTACTCTTCGGGCTGTGGCAAGGTAGGAGAAGCAGGAGCCAGAGGGATCCAGGGTAGGAATGGGGACCGTTTTCTCAGTCGTCTTCTCGCCAGAGTCTTTGGCAGAGGATTCAAGATATGAAATTAAAATACAACAGTCTGTGACAGTACAGGAAGGATTGTGTGTCTCTGTGCTCTGCTCCGTAGAGAGAACCACACAGCTGAATGTCTCCTGAAAGTTCTGGATGGAGACATGTAGGTCTCTGAGGACAACTGGGGTGAGGCGGGAGGACCTTGGTGTCTGGGGCTGTCGGTGCTGTGGCCTTGAGCCCAGGTGTGGATGGGCTGAGACAGGTCCCACACACAGCAGCCCTTCCCCAAGTTCTGTTGCTCTGTAAGATGAAGACAATGTGTCCTGAACACTCTGTCTTTCAAGTTCAAACTGTTCCATCTTTCTATCACAGATGCTGCCCCCTCTGTGAACATCAGTAATTTTTTGAGAAACTGCACAGGTAGGAAAGTTGTGGTTTTCTGGAGGCTGTGGTGAAGGTCAGGGCTCCTTCCAGCAGAATAAGTGAGAACTGAACCAGAGTAGAAATAAGGTGAAATTTAAATCCGACACAAGCATTCAATCCCTTTCACTCTATCAGCCTGTCTGGTGCCCCCTTTCTTTTTCTTCCTGATGCCTACTAGGTCTTCTGGCCACTGTCCCTGAGAATCGTCTGGAGCTGCCCTGATGTTGACAGGTCCCGTTCACTTCTCCAGTCAGCTGTGCCATGCCCTACCTCCTATAGCACTACCACTTCCTGTCTGTCTCCCACTTCCCTTCAACTTGCCCATGTTATACGAGTCTCCCTCATAGCTCAGGCTGTCCTCCAGCTCTGCCCTTTGGTGGCTCCCCCAGGTGAACTCAACAATTTCATTTCTCATATGCTCCTGCCCTGGGCTCTTTCATACTTTTCTGTCCTGAGTTGCACTCAGAACATGGCACTGTCATCCCCACCCAGGTCCTATGATATATTCCTTTCAGAAGCTGCCCTTAGATCAGTGGGCTCTTCAGTTCTTAAAATCTCTCACTAATCCTGGACTTCATCTCCTTGCTGTGTCCCCTTATTCCTACTCATGTTGTGTGGTTCCTCTTATCTCAGGTTCTTCTCAACATCTGTGACCCTCATAGCACAGCCCAGAAGGTTGTCCTGGTTTGGAGTGGGACCTCACTATTCATCTATTCATCTATTCTCCAGTCCAGCTTCCTGGGCTCATCATGTTCAAACAACTTTATGATCCATACTGGATTCCAGATACATGTGCAGGTCCCTCCATTTGCTAGGCTGTCCCAGTACCTCTGCAGGTCACTTCTCCACCTGAGATGCCCACCTGCCATGTGCTCACATGACCAACCTCCCTACTTCCAATCTTGTAGCCTCTTTCTCTCAGGGTTTCTCACACACTTGACTCCTGGATTTGGTTATCTGTGTCCACCAGCCAGATAGTCGTGTGTCCTACTTCTGTTTAATCAGAAAGGAAGGGATGGTCAGGGCTCTCAGATGCAGCCTTTGTGGTCTCTGTCTGTCTCTCTCAGTGCCCCTAGTTCCAATGACCATGAGCAATGACACATCGCCGATTGTCCAGGAGGGCCAGTCCCTGCACCTTGTCTGCACGGCTGACAACAACTCCTCTTCCTCCCTGAGCTGGTTATGGAAGAGTAGGGACCTGAATTCCTCTCAGGTCTCAGCATCCAGGGTCCTGGAGCTGTGCTCTGTAGGGCCTCAGGATGGACAGGAATTTACTTGCCAAGTTCATCACCCTCTGGGCTTCCAGAACTTTTCTTTGAAACTCTTTGTGCAGGGTGAGTAACAGGACAGGAGCTGGGTGGCCGATTGCCTGGTGTTTGAGATGGGGGAGGGGCCGCGGCGTGGGACAAAGCTCCATTCCCTCCCCTTCCATGAAGCCCATCCTTTTACCCGTGTGCAGCTGAGAAGCAGGAGGGCTCCTGGCCCCTGTGCCTCACTCTCATCATAGCGGTTGGCATGGTAGCTGGTTCTCTCCTCACTTATGTCCTCACTTGGATCTACTACACCAGGTGAGTGCGCTGACCCTCTCAAGTGTACCCTGTGATAGATCCCCAGATTCTGGGTTGGGCTGAGCTGACTTGACCTGCCTGATATTGCAATTAACCCACCTAACTCTGAGCTGAGACACATGTGGACTCTGCAGGTGTGGGGGTGCCCAGGAGCACAACAGCGTAAAGCCTCAAAGTCCCACTTCTTCTTGATTCCACACTGATCTGTGGACATGAAGACCCAGTGGACATGTGTGGGGACATTACTGTCAGTATTTCCCTGCAAATTCTCAAATCGCACCTACAATGATCATCGGAGCCCGTCGTCAAGAACTGATCCTGGTGCCCCACATCCAGTCCTCAGACAAGTGCCAGACTTTGGGACTTGTCCAATTGCTACTTCAAAGTTTCCTTGTTAGAAGCTTTTGTAAATGAGGAGGTGAGGAGAGTGGAAGGGAAGGGAAGGCCATGGGGGAAAATCAAGTGATATCATGTACAGACAGGTACAAATTCTCGATAATGAATGCCATTATTATGTATATTTAAAATGTACCAATAAAATCTGATTAAGAAAACACAAAGTTACCGTGTTAGTAATGCCTTGTTTTTAAATCAACCTGTGGATTCTGTTGCATATCTTGTTAGTTCTCTTTCTCCCTTAAGTCTGCCCTTTCTTATAATCACTGTTTTCTTGGATGCTTTTCATGTCACTTTACGTTTCACTCTGAGCCACTTATGCCCACCTGAGCCACGAGTCCTTGTACCAGGGCCCAGAGGCCCGTCCTCCACTGGCTGACCCCAATGTCTGCCATTCTGCCAGCTGGAGCAGCTATTCATCATGCCTGTGAGGGGAATGGAGAGATCAGTGATGTGACAGCAGCAACAGCTCTGGCCCCTTCAGACCTTCGCACCCTTGGGGTCATCTTTAACCTGGAAACACATAAAGGACTCTCAAAAGTGTCATTTTAGTCTGCCTGTGGATGCAGCAAAAATCTCCACGGGATCTTTACAGAGGCTTCAAGTTACCATTTAAAACGAATCTTTTCAGTGTAATATATATGAAGCATAGAGCAGAAAACACCTCATCTTACGTTTTCTCTGTCAGCTATGACCCATATGAGGTACTGCTTCAGTAGTGCATTGCTGCACATGAAAGTACCCAAAACTCATTCATTAAACCACAATCTGACACCCCAGCTAGGTGGTGTCATTGCTAGGTATACTCTGGGCTCTGCCAGGTAGTTGCACTAACCCCTGGCTTTCACTCGCCCGGATGTGTGACATCTCACGGTTCCTCCACACAGACCTCTCCCCATCACAGTGCCCAGGACTGGTGACACAGCAGCCCGGGGATGCATGGGGCAGGAGCGGGGGCTGCCAGGCCGCCTTACCATCTTAGGACCTCTCATCTATATTCTGTGGATGAAATAGTGATAGGCAGAATTCATATTCAAGAGAAAAAGATAAAGAATGATAACACTCTCTTTAACCAAACAGTACCATGTTTGCATAGGGCATTGTTTGGGGCTGGTTTTGGGGGCTACTTCCTACAGCTATTCACCTACCTGTGTCAGTGACAGCTGCCTCATGTATGTGATGGGGAGGCACTATCCCTAGGGCAGGGCTGTTGGGAGAATTCATGGCACCTTAGTCACTTTTTCTCCGAAGAGATAATACCCAACACTTGCATTTAGAGGAGGGGAGGTGTATTTTGGTTCACATTAGCAGTCAGTCCATGGTCTATGGACTCCAAGGCAGGACGGCATGGTAAAGGGCATAGCAGAGGAAAAGGTGCTCATGTCCTGGCAGCCAGAAGAAGAGAGTAAAGGGAGGAGTCGTGGAGGGAGAGAAACCCCCTCCCAAAGTGACCCAGGTTTTTGACCACACCGTGTCTCCTAACAACAAGGCAGCTACACCACACCCATAATCCAGTCATCTTCCAAAAGCTCCACCTACGAGTACCCTTGGGAGCTTCTAGATACAAGCATAACAAGTGGGAATATCTAGGTTGCAGGGCAGCAGAGAGCCTTCACCTTTCCTGCTCTTGGAATGGACGCAACAGTCTGGGATTGTTCACAGGACAGTCTTGAGGGTGGTCAGAGCACAAGGGAGAGAAGTAGATTTTCCCCATGTGCTGGGTGACTCCGTTCAGATGGTCCTCGGGTCTCCTGGGACATCTGACATGTTAATCCTCCAGCTGCTGATCTTTGGTCTCTGTCTTGCAGTGAGGCGCCTCCATAGAGATGCAGATGTCTCCAAAGGCAGAACTCACCTTGCATCTGCATCTCAGACAGCTCAGTCATCCTAGCGTATAGAACCCCAGATCAAGAGTCTGGCTTTGGCAGAGGGAGGGCCCCCACTGTGCTCAGTGTCCTGACTCCTGCTGGCAGAGTGGGGTTGGTCTATGTTCACACACTGAGCACAGCACTTGGGAGCTGCTTTGGGATCTGCAGTATGGTGAGACAGTGAGAGGATCAGCCCTGGAAATCACATGCATCACGACTGCCCAAATTCAAACACTGTCCACTCTGCCTATTCATCCCTGAGAACTCACTTTTCACTCCAGGACAGGGAGATCCCACCCATCCCTGGTCTGTGCTTCTCCCCTGTGGGTCATCTAATCTGTGGCACTGAGACTGTCAGGTGACAGTATCCCAACCACATGTTGTTTTTCAGAGACCACTTAATCCCTCTTTTTGCATCTCTTTGCTGGAAACCTCAAGCCATGGTGTAATTTTGTGCTACCTGGCTTCCAAATGAATGAATGAAACATCCTCCTTCATCCATGGAACAAACAAGTCTTTCCTCAGAGCCAAATCAGTCCTGTGCAAAGACTAGTGAAATGGTTTCCCATACACAGTGGAAGATAAGACAGGAAGGGTACCTGTGTGATTGGGGCAATTTACTTGCTCCTTATTCCTTTTGGACTCCTGTAGAAAGATATATTCACAAAAAGAAATTACACATAAAATAAATCTCTTTCCTACATCTCTGGAGGTTGGGAAGTCAAGGCACTGGCAGATTTAGTACTTGGTGAGGATGTGCCTTCTCAGAGAAGGTCCCTTCTGGTTGTATCCTCGTGTGATGTCAAGGCTCCAAGTTTCCTTGTGTCTCTTTTATAAAGGCACCAACTCTATACATGAGAGTGCTGCCCCCATGATGAAAATACCTCCCAGCAGACTCCTCCACCTAGTATCATCAGCTTTTGGGCTAGGATTTCAACAAAGGAATTAAGGAGGGACACAAACCTGCATATCGTATGATGTGGCACTCTGGACCTCTAGGTCCACTTCAGAAAATTGGGGAAGTGGGCCTAGAGGGCCTCTCAGCTGTCCTGACCCATTGTCCTAAGTTCCTCTTTTGTGGAGAAGTTTTCTGTAGCATTTTCAAGTCTTTCCTTCTCATTCTTTCCCTTTTCTTTAAAAATGTGAGACCGTGGGAAACAAATGGGTCATGGTTCAGCCCTCTGACCAATAGCACGCTGGAATTGGTCTGACAGAGTAGAGTATTGTTGTAATAATGGGACTGAGGAATGCTGCAGGATGAGATGCCAGTTGAACAAGCAGGAAGGAGTGACTGAGTGCATGCCTGTGTGTGTGTGTGTGTGTGTGTGTGTGTGTTTAGAGGGGGTGGTTATGCATAGTAAACCTTGAGCCTTCTTCCTCAAATGTCACAGCCAACTGCCCCTTCTGCAGGCTATAGCAGGGAAGAAGATGATATTGGATGGGCAGATGTATGAGAATGAGTGGGAAAAAGCTCTGGGTTTCTAAATAAATAACCTTAGACAGTATGTCCTAAGCTAGAGTTTTTAAGGTGGTGTGCTGAGATGATCACTTTGGAATATAAGCAAGAAAACAGTAGTCAAACAAGGTTAGGAGCTTCTTCAAGAGGGAGTGACCTGTGGCTCTAAGAAAGGCAGACCAGGTGGGTGTTCCTGGAATGCTCACCACGGTCTAATGCTTGGAGGTTATTCATTTTTGTTGGAAACCACTAAGTTATTTTGTATGAGCACTTTATCGGTATGCCCTCCCACCCTGAAAGAAAAAGCTCCAAGAAAAACTAACAGGAACCAAAGGACACTGCACCGCCCAGAATTTCAACCACTTGTGCCCAGTTTTTGCTGCACAGTCAAAATAATCTGTTGTGGGGCTGGGGATTTAGCTCAGTGGCACAGCACCTGCCTGGCAAGCACAAGGTCATGAGTTCGATTCCTGGTACCAGAAGAAAAACAAAAAAAATACAAAAACAAAAAACAAAAACAAAATAATCTGTTGGAATCAAGTGTGAGTTGTTTCTTGCAGGAAAGCCTGGCCTTCCCTACATCCTGAGAGAAGTTGATCCAGCAGGAGGTGAGACTACAAGTTGGCAGAGCCGCATGGACCATGATGTGAGTTTTAGGTATATTTGGACGGTGACAGTTGATATGGGAGGGCTTGGAGCACAGACAGATGCTATGTGACAGGATTGCTCTGGCTGCTGTGAAGATTATGAGGAGCAGAGGCAGAAGCTGGAGGCAAACATGGAGACTGTGGCAATGAGAGATGACAGTGGGCTGCACAGCGGCCGTGTGCAGTGTCTGTGGAACATGGGAATTGTAAGTTTCTCCGGACAGGGTGCAGACCGAGGGAGGGGTCGGTAACCCAGCCTGTCCTAAGCGTGGGCAGTGTGATGTATTCCATCAGGTCAGAGGTTCCTGGGCAGTTGAGATGCCTCTTGGAAGCACCCACCTGGGCACAGGGGCTTGTTGAGAGTAGCTGGAGCTGGAAATTGGTAATATGTGTGAGAGTGGGGAGCGTTAGAGTGCTTCAAGCAGTCAAGCTATCTCAGTTTTGAGAAAAATATCCTGCCTCTACAGCTTTAGTCAGTAGTCAGTAGGAAACATCACCTCTCATGATACTAACTTTGCCAGGGTACAAATTAATGCCCCTGTTGTTGTTGTTCAGTGCTCCAGCCCTCCAAGGTAAAGAGCTTACTCCACACGACCCCAGCTGTTGTCTCTCGTTTTTATTTTCCTCATATGCACCACCGTTCCTCCCCTGTGTACGCCAAGAGACCAATGGAGTGCCCTATATTTGGCACCTAAACAGGACACCTGGTGAGAGACAGCAAGTAGGCAGTGGGTACGCTTCCCAAGGGCATAAAGCACAAGGGGGAAGTGCTTTTATGAAAGCTAGCATTCAGGAGCGCATGGTACAGGCAAGTCGGATATAAAGCATGGGGATGCATGTTCTCTAGGACTAGAAAATATACAGGCTTCAAAGAATCCAAAAGAGAAAGGGATATTGAAGTGCAAGTAGAGGCTCAAGACTCCCAGGTGGCTGTATCTGTAGAAGTGTTTGTTGCATGTTTGACTCCTGTATTTAATGCTCTGCGTGTTGGTTTGGAGGGGTTTTGTAACCGTAAAGGATTTGACTCAGAAAGTTACATCAAAATCAAGTCCTGAGCCTGAGCAGGACATGGAGGGCAGAACAATGGCGCTGCCCACAGAGCCTGAGCCCTCTAGCCTGGTCCAGTTTAAGAAGAAAGGAGTGGTGGGGAACAAAAGGGACTTTTCCCCACCAGTGAGGTGTTTCCC